CCCCATCTAGAATTCATTATAACAGAGCTACTGTTAAAGTCCCTAAGTCCCAGTACCTTCCACAGATTTAACCAAGTTCATTACCAGGCTTCTATGCTGCCATAAAACATGAAGTTACACCGAAAGGAGTCACCTCACCAAATTCTTTTAAATTCATAATGGACACCCAGTGTGCAAAGATCATCCACACTGCTTGTCAGGATTAATGGTCTATTTGGGTTTTATCTGAGAGTATAAAGACAATGAAACAAAGAAAGATGAGGAAGTCAAACTAAGAGGTACCGTCCCTACTAGGCCTCTTCGTTTTTATCTTTCAGGCAGAGGTTTTAAAGATGCATTTGGTTGTATAACACAAAGCGTAAATGGCTTCTCTCTGGAATTCCTCACGTAGGTTCAAATATCTAAGTAGGGTCGAATATAACCTTTTAACATTATGTGATACAGGGGAAGAACTGTAACTGTAGCCCTTGTCTTGCTCCACTTAGCATATGACTCAAATAATGAGCTTCCCTCTAGAAAACCTTAAAAACTTTTGGCCATAAAACATGAAGGAACAGGCTCAACAGGCCAAAAGGTCAAATGTCTACATTTTAAAGCAAATTCATGCTTATAAACGCAGCATTTTAAAAGAATTAAAATTCTTCCTTGTGCATCAAAATCCGGGTACTTACATCGTCTGCAATGTATCTGCGAAAAGTATGTGCTGTTTTCTAAATTATTTAGAACTATTTGCATTCCTGGTAAAATTTAACGCTCAGTGTTTGTTCAGATTAACTACTAAATGTAGAACATTTACCTAAGCCTTGTTTTTGTCTTGTAATAGCATTTCTGCTTGATTTAATTAAATTTTGTTATTTTTAAATCAATTAGTAGTATAAAAACAATTTTTAAAAATTCTAAGGCCACTTTAAAAATCGCCTCTGTTCCCAGTTGTTATGAAGCATCAGTCATTGGTCATTGGAGTATTTTCCATGTCACTGTAGATTTCCTTCTATGTAGCACAAGTAAAGAACATATCCATTGTTCATCCAAAAAAGAATAAAAAGCAAGTAGTTGAAAAGTCAACTGCTTTCATTTTTTAGTCTTTCAAATATATTTCTACCTACATCAGTGGGACAAATCAGTTATGAAAGTCTCATTAGAAAGCATTATATAACCCATGTCATCACTAGGCATACCTCTGAAATTTTTAAATCATACCTCTCATTTGCCTTTTTTCTTGTTTAAATTTTCCAAGCTGCGTCTGAGTCACATAGCTTTGCCTAAAGTGACAGAGGAGAGCAATGATGCAGACCTTACAAGTTTTTTTTTCCATCTGTGCCCAAAATCATTTTGAGTTTGATTAAAGTGACTGGTCACCAGGGGTTTCACTGAATTGACAGCCTATTACTTTACCTGTTAAGAAATCAATTCTTTCGATCAAGAGTGTAAAGCTGATTGTTTCAGATATGACCTAAAAGGACCTTTATCAATGTTGAGATAACCATTCCAAAGCAATCACTAAAGAATGAAGTATTTCAGAACTTACAAACCTAACATTCACACTTCTCTAACTCAGTATTCATGACATAAATTTAGAATTTTAATCTTTTAGACCTATTCTCTGCTGAGTTAGTTCCATAGGACACTCAAGTGTTAACAAAATTGTACTCACTCATATGTCATAACTTCATGGGCAATACCTAGAATGATATTCCTTATGAAGCATTAATGCTACAGAAAGTATAACCTGATTCAGCATATGGAACTTTCACAGAAAACCTAAACATTGTTTATATACCCCATTGGGCAAGAAATAAGGAAAATGGAAGCCTCTCTCTAATTATATTCTTAATTTTGTATGTGTTAAATCAAATGTTTTAAATGAAATTAAAAATGAAGACAATGTTTTTACTTCATCACAAAAAAAATTATGGAGTGCTAAAATTTCACAAAT